GGGGAAGGCCGGAGGTGCAGCGGTTGCAAAAGGAGTCCCCCCTGCCCCCAGCCGCCGCCCTCCCCCGCCGGGCCCCACGAGCCAACGCGCTGGCCCTTCGGCGCGCGGGGGAGTCCGGATTCCCCTGCCCCCGCAGTCACCTTGACAGTGCATGGGGAGCAGGGCGGCCTAGTGGTCAGAGCGCTAGGTTCTAGTTCTTGCTCCGCCATTGCTCTGCTGTGTGATGGGGGGCGGGGGAGGAGTGCCCCCAGCCGCCGCCCTCCCCCGCCGGGCCCCACGAGCCAACGCGCTGGCCCTTCGGCGCGCGGGGGAGTCCGGATTCCCCTGCCCCCGCAGTCACCTTGACAGTGCATGGGGAGCAGGGCGGCCTAGTGGTCAGAGCGCTAGGTTCTAGTTCTTGCTCCGCCATTGCTCTGCTGTGTGATGGGGGGCGGGGGAGGAGCTACCTCACCTTTCTGCATCACTGCAAGGGGGAGGGATTCAGCATTGCCAAGCGGGTGTACACTGGAGGGAGCCCTGCTCTGCCGTCCCTACCGCGTCTCTCCCCTTGTTCCCTGCAGAGTGCCGCTCGCCGAGCTGCGAGAGCTGCTTCAGCAAAGATTTCTGCATGAAGTGCAAAGAGACGTTCTACCTGCACAAAGGGAAGTGCCTGGGCACGTGCCCACCGAACACCACGGCCCGGCCCAGCACCCGGGAATGCCAGGGTAAGGCTGGGCATTGTCCGCTGCTTCTCCCTTGGGGAGCACCTCACCAGCTCCCCCGGCTTTCCCGCACCTGTGCTGATTCCTGAGCAATTCCCCACGGGCCCGGCACCCCCCAGCCACAAATCCAGGTGTTCTGTCCAGAGCCACATTTCTGCCAGCCTTGCCCATGCTCAGGGCATTCCAATGGCTGGTCACGAGCCCGCTGCAAAGCCCATTGGCACCCCAGGCAAGACCCTACAGGCATAAGTGAGCTTTGGGGAAGTGTCCCAGGCACACCAGGGTGACCGGGGAGGGTATGTTTTCCCAAAGCCCCGGGCTGTGGACTCTGCAAGTCTGAATGCACCATTACTCTTGGGGGAGAGGGGATGTTGTTCTGTGCCAAACCATTACAAATTCTGTGCCGAGAAATTAAGAATTCTGGGCCAAAAAAAAATAAAAATTCTGCACCAAAAGAATGAAAAGTTCTGTGCCAAACCATTACAAATTCTGCACCCCAAAAATTAAGAATTCCGGGCCAAAAAATTCAAAGTTCTGCACCAAGAAATTAAGAATTCTGGGCCAAAAAAATTAAAAATTCTGTACCAAAAGAATGAACAGTTCCGTGCCAAAACATTACAAATTCTGCACCCAAAATTAAGAATGCTGGGCCAAACATTTAAGAATTCTGCACCACAAGAATTAAAAATTCTGCACCAAAAAAAGAAGACTTCTTTGCCAAACAAATAAGAATGCTACTCCATAAAACTTAAGAATTCCGTACACAAAAAATTACAATTCTGCCCCCAAACATTAAAAATTCGACACCCGAAAAACAAAACATTCTGTGCACAATATCTTAGCAGTCTGCACAATGCTGCGTATTTTATGTGTCAAACCAGGCTGGTTTCAATGATTTTGGTCATTTATTGAAACTCCAAGGCAATGGGTGCAGAGCGGGGGAGGGGCACCCTGGAGAACATCCCCAACCCCCTTGTCGAGCAGTAATGGAGCCAAGACCCTTTATTTCACGTTACTCGAGAACAAATCTATGCAGCCAGATGTGCGGTGTGACAGCAGAGGCAATGGACCAGCAAGTGAGGGTTGGGGGCCCTCAGGTTATACCGGCTACTGGCCATCCCTAGACAGATCCGTAGCGAACAGGCGAGGGAGCACATCTGGAGAGGAATTTTTTCAGTCTAAATTCAGTTGAGTTCTAATCACCAAAGCACTGTAGGCGTGTCTAGGGCCACACTGTCCTTTACACCACTCCGGCTACGTAAAGGAGCTTTAAACAGGCTTTCCTCGAATTTTTCCCCACCCTGAGCAGAATGAATTTTCTCTCTGGGGTGGGGACGTGTGACACAGAGGGGGTGTGAGACACGTCACCTTCCTATTGGTGCACAGAACAACATTCGTGTGGCGGGGGTGGGGCCAAAGGGTTCTGAGTGTGGGAGGGGGCTCTGGGTTGGGGCAGAGGGTTGGGGTGCAGAAGTTTGAAGGCTCCGGCTGGGGGTGCAGGCTCTGGATTGGAGCTGAGGTTGAGGGGCTCAGGGCTGGGATAGAGGATTGGGGGGGGGGGGGCAGGTATGGGGTGGAGCTAGGCAGGAAGGGTTTGGGGTGCAGGCAAGGGCTCCAGGTTTGGGGACGGGCTCAGGGATGCAGGAGGGGACACAGGCTCTGGAAGGGGATGTGGGCTTTGGGGTGCAGGAGGGTGCTCAGCCTAAGGCGGCTCAAGGCAGGGCTAAGGTTGGGACACAGGTTTACCTGGGTGGCTCCCTGCTGGGGCTGGCAGGGAGGGGCTCCTTCCTGTCCCCTCTCCCCCCCCCCCACCCCCATCGGCCCTGGCAGCTTCAGGGCTTGGGAGAGGTGTCTCTCCTGGCTACAGCCCTGAGCCCCTGCATGAGGCTTAACAGGAAGCCATGCAGCCGCACGGCCACGCAGCTTAGGGGAAACGACGGCATTAAAACTTTGCCACCTGGTTTAGACTCCGGTGGGAATTCACAAAGACAGTGGGAACAATCCTCTAAGCAAGGAGGCTGCTACATTCTGCTCTGCCTCAGAGGACAGAGCCTGGCCCCCGCCTACCTCCTCAGAAGCACCCCGATGCCCTGCCCCTCCATGCTGAGCAAGCTACAACAGAGGAACCGAGTGTCTCTCTGTCTCATATTCATAACTGCCAAGCCCTCCACCCCTTCATCAGCGACTTGCATCTCTCCCAGCCGCTCAAGGAGCCTTGTGGTGCCGGCGAAGGGCACGTAACCCTCTCGCCGCTTCCCTTTGCTTCCCCATCAGAATTTATTTTTCTGCGGGGAACCAAAGAAATCTGCGGGGAACGTGAATTCTGTGCACACGCAATGTGGTAAAATTCCCCCAGGAGTAAGAGCATTTACCTGAGCATTCACCCCCCTCCCGTCCCTGCCCTCCCGCTGTGCTTGCAGGCATCTGGCTGCCTGGGGTTTGGCACATACATCTGAAAGCCTGCGCACACAAAAACTTGGCCTGTCGAGCGGGAGGCAAAAGGTCACTTCTGGAAAGGCCACCGTAGGGCCTGCTGAGGTCTCACTGCTCTCTTTCTTGCCCCTGCCAGAGATGTGCGAGATGGGGCCCTGGAGCGAATGGAGCCCCTGCAGCCACGAGGGGAGAACATGCGGCTGCAAGTGGGGAGTGGAGACCCGGATGCGCGAAGTCGTCCAGAGTGCCAAAGAGGAGGCAGTGACCTGCCCGGCCCTGCTGGAATCCAGGAAGTGCCGAATGAGGAAGTACTGTCCTGGAGGTGAGGCCTGGGGTGTGGAAAGAGATGATACCCAAGCTGTCTGGCCAAGCAGACTGTAGTTAGAGTCGTTTAGGGGAAATTCAGGCTCAAACCTCGTCGATGTCTTTCCACGGTCAAAAAAGGCGGGTGCCGGATGAATCTGATTTCCCCAGAACTGCACGTTGGTGGTGCCCACAGATCCCATCTTTGAAATCAGCCCAGGCCTGTGTTCACGGCCCATCCGGCGATGACGAAAACGGCGCTTGCACAAGCTTCTGCGTGTGTGAAGCAGCCCCAGAGCTGGCCCTGCAATCTGTCCTTTTCCTGGGGGGGTTCTTCTGGCAGCCTAGCCAACAGCCGCACAAACAGGCGGCCGCAGTGTGATCAGCACCGGGGTCTGTGAGTGCCTGGCTGTGGCTTGAAGATCAACCAGAGACAGTCAGAACAGCCCAGCCTGGAAGCATCTATAATTGATCAGACTTCCCCGGGAAAGGCTGCGGCAGAGCCAAGAACTGAACTTAGCTCCCTTTGGGCACACAAGCCATGGAGCCCAGGCCAACAGCTGCTGGCAGGGATGCCCTCGCCCATATGCAGAATGCAGAGCTACGTAGGGCCCCTGAAAATTCGGGGCACCGCTGGGTCTTAATGTCCACCCTCTTCCTATCCCTGGCCTGTAGCTCCGTTTCCTCCAGAGAGGGTCTAGTTAACTACTCTCTAAAAATCATCATACACCCATGCACATGTGGGGCACAGGGGCACCATTAACAGCCCTGCGCAGGGCCCCATAAACCCAAAGGACGGCTGGCTGCAGGCTCCTGCTAGCAGTACTAAAAATAATGGTGGAGCTACCCACAAGGCCTTCTTCCGCCAAAGCAGCAAAATACAGGAGGCTGCCAAACCCGAGGAAGGGAGCAGCCATTTGCCAAGCTCAGAGGCTGTTGCGTGCGGGGTGTTTTGTTAAATAGCACAGTGAAAACCACAGGATTCTAGTCCAGGCTTTGCTACTGCTTCATGGACCTTGAGTGAATCACCATGCTGCTCGCTGCCTCAGTTTCTCCATCTGCCAAAGCCCTGGCTCAGAGCCAAGGAGTGAGGCACGATAGACATTACGGCTTGGAAGTTCGCGGTCCTTGGATAAAACGCTCGCTGGAGCGGCAAAGTATTAGCTACATGCACGTTTGCAAAATTAACATTGAGCGTGATGACGGCGATTTCTGATCGGTGTCTTGCAAAATGAGCCTGACCAGGGACGCAACCCAGAGAGGTTTGGGCTAAATTGGCTCTCACGTTCCCTTCCCAGGCCAGGAAATCCACCCTGCACTCAAAGTCCAACCCTGCCCCGTTCCACTGTCCAGCCTAGGGCGCCTCCAGATTCAGGGATTGCCTGCTGCTGCAAAGACCTAGACCCCTCTGTTGCCACCCTGGGCGGTGGATGAAGGCCCAGCTGAGAAAGGCAAGCCCCAGCTCCGCCCCTTCCTCCTGAGGCCCCGCCCCTTTCTCCTGAGGCCCCGCCCCTGGAGTCAAGCCCCTCCCACCCTTAGCCGGATCTTTCCTGGCCAGGTGGAGGGCTGGGGCTGCCATGCTGCAGCCCTGGCCTGTCCCCAAACCTGGCCCTCCCCAACGAGCTGCCAGGGCATGTAGGCAATTCTGGGAAGGCAGAGCCTTTCCTTGCCTTCATTACCAGCCACACAGGCCTGCCACCACCTCCTGTACCCAGCCCACCGCTAACGAGTGTCCCAGGACAGGGCAGGTGCTTAAAATCCTTGGTGGCACTCGGGGCCCAATGGAAACCAGCAGGGAGCTGAGGTCATTTCTTGGATGCGATTGGCCGGGTTGTAAGTGCGCGCAGAAATAGCTGCCTAATAACTGGCAGCAAGAGGGGTTGCGAGAAGTTCTGGTCTGTCTCCCTTGGAAGAAGATCAGAGCTCCTGGCCCCGGCGTTTGAGCGATTTACGTCTCTCCCGCCTCCTCCTCCTCCTTCGCCCTTTCAGGCTGGGTTAGAAATCAAAGAGGTTGCAAATATTTTCCCCTAATAACGATGCCTCTGAGCAGTGATCTTCCCCCGAGCGCATTGTCGAGAGTAACTGGGCGCGTAATGGGAGCCAGGTGGCGTCAGTTTAGGGGGAGTTCTGCTTTCTCCTCTGGTTGTGAGTCACTGACCTTTTGAAACGACGTGCTGCTCCTGTCACAGCAATTCCGTCACCATCTCCATCTCCTCCTGCAAACCAGATCCAGGCAGGACAGCCCCGCTGTCACCTCGGAGGGAGCCTGTAGCAACAACACTGACTCAGTGCCAGGCTTCACTGCCACCCCCTTACAGGGCTGGCACACAAGAGCCAGGGGGCTGAAAAGGGTCCTTCCTGAGTCAACGTAGCTTGAGCTTCAGAGCCACCATGACAGGTGCGGTCCCCAGGCCTCCCGCTATCTCTGCTGTGGAAAGGGCTCTGGTGTAAGGACCCAAAAGAGGATGGAGGAACTAGAATCGCAGAGCCATAGCACACTGGAATGGGAAGGGCCCTCGAGAAGTCACCAAGTCCAGCATCATCTAGAATCATAGAACCATAGAACTGGAAGAGACCTCGGAAGGTCAAGTCCAGCCCCCTGCTCTAGGCAGGACCAATCCCAACTAAATCAACCCGGCCAGGGCTTTGTCAAGCCGAGACTTAAACACCTCTAGGGATGGAGATTCCACCCCCTCCCTAGGGAACCCAGCCCAGCGCTTCCCCACCTTCCTAGTGAAATAGTTTTTCCTAATAGCCAACCTGGACCTCTCCCACCACAACTTGAGCCCATTGCTCCTTGTTCTGCCACCTGTCACTACTGAGAACAGCCTCTCTCCATCCTCTCTGGAACCTCCCTTCAGGAAGTTGAAGGCTGCTCTCAAATCCCCCCTCACTCTTCGCTTCTGCAGACTAAACAGACCCAAATCCCTCAGCCTCTCCTCATAAGTCATATGCTCCAGCCCCCTAATCATTTTGGTTGCTGTCTGCTGGATCCTCTCCAATGCATCCACATCCTTTTTGTAGTGGGGGGCCCAGAACTGGACACAATACTCCAGATGTGGCCTCACCAAAGCTGAATAAAGGGTATGTCTACACGAGCTCCCTAGTTCAAATTAGGGAGGCTAATGAGGGCGACCAAGTTGCTAATGAAGCGCAGGATTTAAATATCCCGTGCTTGATTAGCATATTCCTGGCCGTTTGCCATTTCGGAAACTGACTAGCCCAAAGTAACTGCCCCCGTCTACACGCGGCAGAGAAGCGGGAATCCGAGATAAACCCCTTAGTTCAAATAAACTGTTTTGGTCGATTGCCTTTGGCTCAGGCCTAAACTCCTTAAAACCAGTGGGACTCTTCCCTGTTCTCTCGGCTCCGGCCCTCGTGGCCTGCGAGACTATGTGGGGTTGTTCTGGGCGAGCGTGCATTTGCGTGCTGTTTAGGGGGCTTCTTTGCGTGTGGACTCACCTATGAGGTTTAGGGAGCTTCAACCATCTCTCCCCCCACCCCCCCTGCTGCATGACCTCCCCCTTCTTGGCACATGCCACAGACGGGGCCCACCCTGCGGGAGGCAGCTCGCTCGGGGTTTGGCTGTGCGGCTGGGACCACAAACGAGAAGAAAAACGCAGAACGAATCTCTGGATCTGTGGGAAGCCCCAGGCGGCCGCTGGGCTCCTGGCAGCAGAGCGGAGCCGGGAACAGCCGGGCCTGGGAGCCGCCCGCCAAGCAAACGCCATTCTCATGTGTTCCCAATTGCCCAGATTCCAGATCTGGGGGGAGCTGCTGCCGCCCCCGGCCAAAGTCCCCGGGAGGTGGGGAGTCTGGCACGATGCCAGGCTTCCCCGGGGAATCTTGTGTCCCGCCTCTCTAAGGGCCCTCACTCCCTTCGGCTTTCCCGTGCTCCCGCGTGTCTCCTTCCCTTCCTCTTTGCAGCTGCCGGTGGCCCAAGGCGGGGGTGGGGGCCTGCCGGGGGCTATCCTAGCACCCCCACATGAGATGGTGTCTGGGAGGGACACCGTGTTGTTCTCCAGGCTCAGTGTGGAGCCGGTTTGATACCCTGCCTTCCCAGCATGCACTGCTCCCTGCCCCCAGGAGGTGAGAAGAAATCCACCCGCACAGGGCAAATTGTCGGTCCACCAGCACCAATGGGCATTGGATCAGGCGGGTCTCTCCTTAAACCACACACACACACACACACACACTGCTCCTGAATGCCCCGCCTCCTGCTCGAGAGAGGGTGGGGTCCCATCTGTGCTGTTCTCATAGGGTGCGTCTGCACTGCACCCGGAGCTCGAAATAAGCTACGCCTTTGGAGCGACGCAAATTGCATCGCTTATTTCGAGTCAATTTCGAAAAAGCTTATTTCGAAATTTGGCGCTGTCTACGCAGCGCTTATTTCAAAATAAAGCGCTATTCCGAAACAGCCCTTACGCCTCGTGGAATGAGGTTTGCAGGGACGTCGGAATAGCGAGCCCGTTATAGTTCGAACTAACGGGCGCGCTCAAAAGAAGCGGAATAGCTATTTCGGGATACCTCCGGTAGCCCAAAATAGCACTGCAGTGTAGACATAACCAGAGTCCTCTCTGTGGCAGAGGGGGGGTCTGAACTGAGCACCCCTATTCCCAACTCAGAAAGGCGGGGATGCCTGAATCCCAGAGGCAGTGCCCAGATCCCAGAGGCAGCATCTGAATCCCCAGAGGCAGTGCTCAAATCCCAGAGGTGGGCCCTGCTCTGGTTTTATGCATCCGCTGCCCCTCCCCCTTTTATCCTTTTGCTTTTTCCTCCTTCGGCCCCCAGGGTGCCCAAGAGGCACCACTGACGTGAGCTGGGGGGCCCAGAGGCACATCTGGCCCCTTTCTGCCTCTTGGCCAGGCTGTTTGCTGGGGTGACCACTCTGACTTCCATGGAGCTTTTGGCTCAAAGAGCCTCGCTAGGAACTTTGCCAGCCAACCGCTGGCCCTCGCTGCTCTGAGTTTGGGCTGAAGGTGGAGCTGCCACCCGGGCCTGCTCTGCCTGTGAAGAGAGAGGTGGGGCCAGGGACCATGTTGGGGATGGGCTCTATCCTCCCATTTCACAGATAGGAAAACTGAGGCCAGAGAGACTAAGTGGACTGCCTCCGGTCACCCTGGGTGCCTGGGACAGAGCAGGAGTCTGAATTCTGAGTTCCAGCTCAGGCCACCCATCCTTAGCTCAGTAGATGTGGGGAAAGGGCAACAGTATTTTTTTTTTACCCATTTCACAGATAGGAAAACTGAGGTCTCAACAAAGCGACTCAGGAACCATCCCAAGGGCACAAAGCCAGTCAATGTGGGACTTAGGAGAAGACCCCGAGAGTGCTGCTGGGCTGGATGGAGGGTGAGGTTCCCAGGCTCCTGTTTCAACCCACTGACTCATCTCCTTGCACAAACTATCTGTTCCCAAACAAACTTCGCAGCAGCGGGCCGAGAAGTAAACCCAGGTTTCGAAACCCTCCCTTGTTTCTGTGTTGCAGAGAAGCCGGAGAGCATCAAGAAAATGAAAAGGGAAAAGAAACAGAAGAAGCAGAAGGCAGATTTGCTGGCGGGCACCTAGCCAGCGCCCTGGCAGGTCGGACTGCGGGAGTCCGTGTTGCCGGGGCCTCATGGGAGCACCATCGGACACAGAAGGAGTCTTCACCCTGGAGGTCTCAGCAGCATTTTTCCTTCTTGGCTTTTCTTTCTCCCCCTTTTCCTCCGAATATTGCACAGTCCCCACCCCCGCGCTTCTTTAGAGGCTGTTTGCAGCCCGTAAAACATTTCCCCTTCCGAAGTTCGGATTGGAGCGCTGCTGCCTGAATTCTATTTTGGGGGGAAGAGGAGCTTTGAGGCCCTCATGGAAGGGCACAGAAAGACCCTCCGCCTTTATGGATGGAGAGGGGGGGTTTGACGGCGCCGGCGCCCAGCGCTGCTGCCCCACAGAAACAGCCAGTGGGGCCTTTGATGGACACGCGGCTGGCAGGCCTCAGGCTGGGTTCATCTGGCTGGTCCCCCCACACTGGAAGCAGGGTGGAACGCCTGCGACGGACGGCGCCCAGTGGCCTGTTACCAGAAGCTGGGGAGAAACTCTCTCGAAGAGCCCCATCCTGGCTACGTTACACCTCAGCCAGGCTCCATCTCCCTCCCAGCGCCTTCAGGCCCCTGCCGTGGCCTCGCAGCCGTCTGAGCTGCGGGTTAGAAATGAGCTTCAAGGCGGAAACAGAGCCAAGTGACTGAAAAACATTTCCCCCAGCTGAATAGCTCAGCCCAGCGGTTCTCGGACAGGGGGTCAGGGCCCCAAAGTGGTCGCAACCCCCTTTCTATGGGGTGGCCAGGGCTAGTGTTAGACGTGCTGGGACGAGGGGCTGAAGCCCCCGGCCCACTGTCACTGTCAGAGCCCAAAGGTGTTAGCCCTGCGTGGCGGGGCTCAGGTTACAGGCCCCTCTGCCGGCCACGAAGGCAAAATCGGCCCCCGGACGTGCCCTGCGGGGATCTGGAGACCCTGCAGTGTGGACATGCAGAAGGGGTGAGACAGTAGCTGCAAATTCAGCAAATATGGGTGTCACCGAGACGTGTCCCCTAACCAAACCCACGCAGGGCGCCAGGCAGGGTGGCGGCTCTCGCTGTTCAGGTCCAGCCTCCTGGCAGCTTTCACCTGCCGGCAGGAGAGTTTAAGGGAGGGATCTCAGGACATTGAGACGCAAACTCTCCCGAGAGTCCCTCCCTGAGAGCCGTGTGGCTGTCGGAATCGCTTAGGGCAGCATTCCAGATTCCCTAGGGCGGGAAGGGGACGTGATGTGGGGGACGTTATAGCATTTCAGCGAAGCAAGAATTGTTCTGTAGAATGACAGTGAGATACGCGAGAGCTGGGACCGAGCCCAAACGAGATCTAAACTGCTCCCCAAACTCTGGAAATTCTCAGCCCTGGCTCCAGATTTAGGCTTTGTACTTTAGGGCCTTCTCCAGCCATGCCCACACCCTCAACTTCTCCAAGCAGGGTCAGATGCCTTCTAGCATTCTAACTCATTTCTGTGATTCTGGCAAATTAGGTTCTACTGTCTATATAAATAAATATATATATTATATATATATATATATGAAATAT